CGTGGTCCTCCTGATGTGGGTCTCCAAGCATGGCTGATGCGTCCTGAGCCACTTCAGCCTTAATCTTCCCTCTCCTTCCCCCATCCTGGTGTCGGGGAGCTGCGTGTCTTGGGGACGGGTGGGGTGGGCTGAAGGGGACGATGGAAGGAAAGCTCGGACTCCAGTTGGCCTCGCCTACCCACAGGCCGCCAGGTTAAAGCGGAGGGAGTGGAGAATGGGTGCTTCCGGGGGCTCTCCAGCTAACCTGGGTATCAACAGCCCTCACCCGGGCTGCCGAAAGAGGAAAGACCAGAGAGACGGGGGCGGGTGGGGCCGCGGGCCATCAGACGTTGCTGATACGCACACTTAGGGCACTACCCTCCTTCTCCGCTTGCTCCCTTAAGGACTCCTCCAACTTGAGCTTCTCCGGGTCTCCGTAGCGCACCGCGCTGTCGCGGAGGCCGCTGGGAGGGGCCACCTTCACAACCTGGTCAAAAAGGCTGAAGTCCGCTATGTATTTGCCGCTGGCTGACAGCGAGATGGCGGGCGTGAACTCGTAGCCCCAGAGGATCTCCTCCGGCAGGTAGGAGGTGCGCACCTGGCAGGTGGCGCTGGTGGATTCCACCGTCCCACTTAGGATCAGCACCAGCTCGAAGTCCCCCTCGCCGCTGCGAAGGGGGAGGTCTTTCAAGGGACTGGTCTCATCCACCACGTGGTAGAACGTGAGGGGCAGAATGAGGAAGGGGCTGTCCGAGGCCGTGTCCACTTGGAAAGTCACGTTGACCTGGTTGAGCCGGATGTTCTCGCCCTCTTTGGTCTGGTGGGTCTGGAGCAGTTTGCCCGTCACCTGGCAGCCGATGAGGAGGCTCTTCCGCATGTTGGCAACGCGGATCATGAGGCAGGGCTTCCCGTCGTGGGCGGCCACGACCGCGTGCTGGCTGAAACGGATGGTCTCGGCCCGCTTCTTGGGCCGCGCGATCTTCGCCAGGAAGGTGCCCGTGATGAAGATTTCCAGGATGGTGGTGAGCACCAGCTGGGCGATCAGCAGCACGATGGCCAGCGGGCACTCCTCGCTGATGTAGCGGAAGCCGTAGCCGATGGTGGTCTGGGACTCGAGGGAGAAGAGGAAGGCCCCCGTGAGCGTGTGCACCTGCACCACGCAGGGGGTGTGGTTGGCCGGGGGGCCCAGCTCCAGCAGGTCTCCGTGGGCCACGGCCACCAGGTACCACACCACCCCGAAGAGGAACCAGGTGCCCGCGAAGGTCGCGGAGAAGAGCAGAAGCTTGTAGCGCCACTGCATGTCGATGAAGGTCGTCCACAGGTCCTTGAGGTACAGGAAGCGCTTGTCGGCGATGTGCTCCATTCTGACGTTGCTGCGGCCGTCTTTCGTCAGGACCCTCCGCCGTCGGACCCCTGGGCCCACGAGGGGCCGGCTCTCCGTCTGAGTGGTCTGACTGTAGTACACCTTGGCCACCGACGTCATCTGGAGGGAGCGAGACGGCATAACGGGGGTTATTGCAGGAAGCCAGCCAACTCCTGGCCACCGCCCACGGCGAAGGAAGAAGTGACGTGCGTTTCGGGGTCACCGATCTTACCATTTAGCGCATATTTACTGAGCACTCGCTATTCGCCGGGCGCTGTGCAGGACGTTGGTAAGCCAACAATGCAAATGACCTCACCCTTGCTCTCCAAGAACTCCCAGCCTGGTGAGCCAGACACACATTCAGGGAGCAGATAATCGCAGGGAAGTCTGATCTTTGTGATTCTCTGTGACAAGCACAGGTCCTGGAAGGTGGGGCCAGAGGAAAGCGTTCTCCTGGTCTCTCTTCCCCGCAAAACCAGTTCCGTCAAGATCTCTAATTCTGAAATAGGATCCCTCCCCACCCTCATGAATGGCAGGGCAAGAAAGCCTATCCTGTTGAAATCCTTCCAGGCCACCCCCCGCCCCTGAAAACACACAAACCCTTCATTTCCCTGCCTTTCCCCTAGCCCCAGGGCAGTACTCACTGGTGACAACCAGGGGACTCATCTGGCTCAGAAAACAGCGGAAACTGCCCAACCTGCTACCCTCTGAGATGTTTTCTAAGGACCTGGACCATTTCACTGCATATTATTATTACTACTTTATCATCGCCATCACCATCATCTATTTGCATCATCCGGGGGGATTCGGTCTGGGTCAGGTGGCGGTGGGAATAGCACGGGCAGGACCTGAGCAGAAAGAGCTGAGCGATGGGAAAGGAGGAGGGAACCACCACGCCGAGGCCTCCTGGCGGTGCAGAGGGAAATGCCAGGTCAGGGGCGGCAAAGTGGCCTTGACCGGGTGAGGTAGGAGAGTTGGTGTGGATTAGCGGTCACGTCCGCACAAGCTCAAATTCAGGATCGCTGTTTGTCCTGATGGAAGAAAGTGGGACAAGGCTCCGAAATAGGAGACATCTCGCTTCACGCAAGGTGCCGGTAGCTCTGCCCAAGGAGTAGCTTGTACTTTTCCAGCAGAGATAGGATTTCAATCACTGAACCCTTGGACTCTGGATCTGATGACCAGACCTTCTGGGAAGGAGGAGGGTGATCTCCGGGGATTTGGGTCCTACTTGGAGAACAGAGAAGCTCATCTCCTTCTCCATTCCAAAAAATCTGGGCCGTCGCATCATCATTCTTCACGTTGCTCCCTTACCCCATCTTCCCCACGGCCCGACATCTGGAAAACTAAATTATTTGGGCCCGTTTAAACCCCCCACCCAAATAGACCCTGAATTGGCGGTCACCAATGGATGAGAATCCCGGAATGTTCAGAGGCAGCCAGGAGCCTGCTTACCAGCGCTCGACCACTTGGGACCTTTGTCCACTTCCCAATACCCTTATCTACTTTGGAGCAAAAGGGAAGCTTTATAATTCTGAGGTTTGGAGAATTACGATTTCAAGCCCAGGTATAGCCCCCTTCAGCACTCAATAGCAGCAGTAAAGACAAAGCACAGCCCCCGCATCTCTACCATTTTAAAGCTCGCCCATTAGTGTGCCTTCTCATTTGATCCTCAAACTGGAAAAGATGTGGAACCTTCCTGAGAGACTCTGAGGAACTATTAGCGGATGGAGGAAGCCCTGGAAAGCTGTGGATGACTGAACATAATTTTTTTATTTTAGTTTCTTTTTTTTTATTTTTTAAATGTTTTTATTTATTTTTGAGAGAGAGAGACAGAGCACGAGTGAGGGAGGGGCAGAGAGAGAGAGGGAGGGAGACACAGAATCGGAAGCAGGCTCCAGGCTCTGGGCTGTCCGCTGATGCGGGACTTGAACTCTTGAACCGTGAGATCATGACCTGAGCCCAAGTCGGACGCTTAACCGACTGAGCCACCCAGGTGCCCTTAGGGCGGCGCAGAGAGGGAGAGAGAATCCCAAGCAGGCTCCTCACCGTCAGCAGAGAGCCTGATGCGGGGCTCGAACTCACAAACCGCGAGTTTGTGACCTGAGCCGAAACCAAGAGTCAGACGCTTAGCCGACTGAGCCACCCAGGCGCCCCTGTTTGCAACATTAATTTTATTCAGAACTATAGAACACGCGGCCACCAGTTACGAGGGTGACACAAAGCTGGAACAGATCGCAAATACAAGGTATGGGGCAGAATTAGGACCCAAAAGGAGCCAGAGGAATGGGCTAAGTCTAACAAAAAGTATAAATGTTGGGTTGCATATTTGGGCCCCAAAATTATCTGAGCAATTCCGGATCACAAATACTTGGTTTGAAGGGCGATCACACGAACAGGGGTTTGGACCTGCTCTTGGAGCTCCAAGAGGAACCGCCAGCACCGATGAATCCACACCACAGAGGAAAAGATTCCAGATCCAGACGACAAGGCACAATGTAACAATCAGGACAGCCAAACGTGAAAGAGCTTCTCGGGAGGCAGACAGCGCTCCGTGCCTGGGGGTGTCCAAGGGCAGGATGGACTGGCACTTCTCAGAGAGTCCACAGAGGAGGTGCAGCCTCTCACCTACCCTCACGGGGGACAGGATGCCTGCCCCTTCCGCGCCATCTCTACCCCGGACGTCCTAGGGTGACATTCGGGGACCCATCCTCAAAGTCCTAGCTTTGTGCTGAGGAAAGATTCTGCCTGACTTCAGGAACGGAAGCTCTTGGGGCCCAAGGGAAGCCTCGCTCATCCTCCCCAAACAGTAGCCTGTGATGATGTTATCCCATCGCAGTTCGTAAAATATGGAATTTGGCCGTCACACTATGAAGTAAGTACAGATTAATGGTAGAGTTGGAACCAGAACCCAGGGCTTTGGGATCTGGTCCAGAACGCTTTTTTTTTTCTATTTATTTATTTATTTATTTATTTATTTGTTGTTGTTGTTTTTAAGTAGATTCCACACCCAACGCGGGGCTCGAACTCCCAACCCCGAGATCAAGAGTCACGCGCCCCACCGACCGAGCCAGCCAGGCGCCCCCAGGACTTTTGCAACAACTGCTTCGTGTACCCGGGTCCATTCTCACGGGTGCCGCGGTCTGGGGAAAGCGCCTCTGCGGGGCCCTGTGCAGGGAACACGGAGCCCGGCGTCGGGGCTGGGCGTTCACGGCACTGGACGGAGATTTTGGCCGCTGGCTGGAACTCTGTTGTGACAGCCGCCTCCAGCTGCGTGCCTGCGGTGCCAGCCTTTCTCTCTGCCTCGTCCGGCTGTCCCCCAGCTGCCACGCCACCTCCCACGGCCAGGCAGCTTTGTTCTCCGAGGGGGCGAGAGGCAGAAGCGGACAAACAATCCGCCACGCCCCCACCCCCAAGCTGGCCGGGCTCCTGGGAAGGGAGCAGCCCCAGCCCTGCTGGGCACACACACAGTCCTGCCTCCAGGGGGTGCTGTGTCCCCAGCCCGGTCCCAGCCAGATCCCAGGGACACAGTCTGACGGTGAAACCAGCCCCCAAGTGGTGAACAGACGGAAGGGGACACCATCAACTTCTCCCGTCTCTAAGGAATGTACTAATGATTCTTTCTCTAAGACCAGGGCCATCAGACCCACGGGGGTGTCCAGCCCGCTTCCCCCCAGCTCCAGACTCTCACGCTGCAGGTAACCCGGATTCGCCTGCGAGCTTGGGAGTCAGTTATTCTCCAGAATGGGTGGGTTTGTCAGAGCCCCTCTGGAGCACAGCTCTGCTCTGGAGCAAGGACACCCAGCTGTTGTGACCGTCGTGATTAAATCAATCCTACCGCTTTGGGGATCAAATGCAACCTCTGAGCCTAGCCTTCAAGGCCCTGCATGGTTTAGTCTCTGCCTACTTGGCGGCATGATTCCTGCCGCTTGTCCACCCGCACCCCGGGCTCCAGCTCCGCGGAGGGCCTCACCGCTTCACCCTTTCTGCCTTTGGACCTGCCGTGGCATCGCTGGCTCCGTGCCTGCCTGAGGACCTCCTGCCGATCTCTCAAAACTCGACTCGAGGGTGACTTGCCCCCTTTTTGAAGCCTTCCCTGACCATCCAAGAAATAATCGGTGCTCCCCATCCCCCAGGCCTCATCCCAGCGTGGGTCCGTGAAGCCTGGGCCTTGTACACGTTCCTACGTTAGACCATCTGAGCTCTCTGCCGTTGTTTGTCAGCTGTGAGGTCTTCATTTAAGGCCGTGGACCGTGACTCTCGCCTGTTTCCCCAGCACCGGGTACAGTTTATTACCAAAGACTGAGGAAGGGGATGAAAGCTGATCCGGACCCAGAGAGGCCCGAGTGAGGGCTGCAGCCTTGGTTTAGCTCCCGGGAGACTGGCCGCCGAGCCTCCGGAGACCTCGAGGTGGAGCCGCGACACAGGGGGAGGGACCCAGGCTTACCCTGCCTCCACTAATGCTGCAGGGGGTTACAGATACGAGCTTCAGAGGCAAGAGAAAGCAAGTCCCAAGGCACCCGTCCATCTCTCCTCTGGGTCAGCGGGAGGATGGAGAGAGAGACAGCTTGGCCGTGGCCGTGGACACGGGAGCGGGCCACGCCAGATGCAGAGAGAGCCTGAGCGTGGCCGTGGCCGTGGACACAGGAGTGAGCTACGCCAAGTTACGTGCCTGGAAAAGATGCGTCAACCCCCACCCGGGGCCGTGGCAGAAGGCACAGGGGAGAGCCGTGCACCTCCTAAAACCGGTCAGGTTGGAGAGGCAGGGAAGGGACCCTGGGCAAAGGCTCCATCTGTTTCCTGTGACGACTTGCCTGAAAGGAGCTTTGGGCCCTAACACCACCTGTGTTCATTCCCCGATGTGAACGAATCCTGGGTTCCCGAACAGCTGAGGACGCCATCATCCCGAGTTACCACACTCAGACTCTCGCCACGCCAACATGCGTCACACAACTGCCAATTTCCACTCGTGCCCCTTCCTCTCATCTCCCGGCCTGACGTCGGGTCCTCTCTGCCTTTCGGCCTCCCACTCACCTGTCCGCTCCTTCTCTCCCCGAGTCCTTCCCGCACTGCGACGCCCGCTCTCTCTCCCCGAAGCACACCTCCGATCACGAACCCGAGAG